TTTCCTTCAAGGCTCAGGGGTCCAAGATTATCTTCTGTGTCTGTATTTATTGGTTTCCCTTTTCTTTGTTGAAGAGGGTCTGTGCAATCCTTCTGCCTAGTCCGCCATCTTGCCCCGCCTCCAATATATCTAGATCTTAAAGCAGTAATTTTCAAGCCATATATATATATTGAACACTAAATTGGATGTAAGTAGGTGAAAAATTTGTCAGGTAACCTTTGCAACTTTTCAGAGCTTGCAATATTCTCAAATACATCATGAATTTCCAAGGTAAGGGAATTTTGTATTTATTAAATATATTTGTTTACCAAATAATTTTTCATACAAAACAATTATGGAATAATGTTGCATAGAACACATTTTGGGAAATGCTTTGGAGAACACTAGTGGTTTTTTGGGTAAAATCTTCTTGCAGAAACCCAATTTGGACCTCTATTAACTAGCAGTACTGAGCTGGAACTGGAATGATTTAAGAATCTGCATTATGAATAAATGAATAGTGTTAGTGTATGTTACTTTATTTTAGTGCACACATATAATGGTAAACTGGGGAAATATTTTCACCAGCATTTTACTTACTTTTAATTCTCTTTGAGAATTCCTAATTCCAATTTTGTTCACTGGCAAAGTACAATGCATTTAAAATAGAAGCAATGATAGAGCTTCCCACCAACAAAAATGTTTTAGAATTTGTTGCTCATATACCTTAAGAATTACCATACAGTAAAACAATGTCAAAGAAGTTTTTCAAATTTCTGCAAACTATAATGATCAGCTCTGAAAAATGTGGGTGCCATCTACCTTTTAGCAATGTTGTAAAATGATTGGTGGGCATGTTCCTGCTGCAGTGAAACTATTTGGAGTTATTGGATGTCAGATAATATTGTGAACAAATTTGTGAAAAAATCTTCTGGACAAAGAGTGTTTAATCACAAAAGTTCTGAACTTGCTGTTTACATTGTATTATTTCATCAAAGCTTATTAAAGAATTCTGAACTTTCTGCATTCAAGAAGCCATGGCAGCAAATGTGCCAAACTAATTCTTTTCATTGGCTTATGTACATTGCTGTTGATAGTTTTCTTAATTTTCTTCTGGTTCCTTTACCCCCAATAAAAATGCATTAAAATGTTAATATTCACTTTTCCCTCTAAGTTCTGTAGGCGCATTAAGAACATATACTACTGTGGCCCTAAATAAATGCTTTCTTGACCAAAATAATGCTGAGTCCAATCAGATGTTCTATAAAGAGCCAGAGAGTAAATGTTGATCATTTCTATTTATTTTATTTTTTTGGGCAAGGCTTACATGTCTTATAATTTAAACACTTTACATAGCGGCTGGCACATATTCAGTACAAATAAATGCTGGTTATTATTGGTCAAACACTAGTGCTACAATTGTGGGGCCCATAATAAGTCACATAACTTACCTCTCAGTATTCATCAGCAAAACAGAGAGAAAAATCTGTCCTACTAAATTTATAAGGTTGTGACGAAAGGTAAACGTAATTGTATTTCACCCTATGCCAATCTATCCTCCACCTAATTTTCCAAAACTATAAATCTGATCTGGTCATACTCCTGTTCTAAATTCCTAATGGCTTCCAAATACTTACAAGATCATGTAACTCCTTGGCATGACTACACATCTTGTCATACTAAGTCTTGGCCTTCCTTTCTGACCACACCTCCTACCATGCTTCCATACAAACCATACACTGCATATATACCATATTTGCAGACTACAGAATAGCCTAAGCTCTTTAATGCCCTCCATGCACTTACATATGCTGGTCTACCTGGGATGTGTTCTCCCCTCCCATTTTTCAATTTGCCCTTAAGCTTTTGTTATATTTCAAGTCATAGTTCAAGAGAAGATGCGTCTCTATGATGTGATATGACTTGCCTTCATCTGCCCATACATATGGTAAAGTTAAGACCTTCCTCACCTGTTAAAGCACTTTATGTAAACCTCTATAATTGTACTTATAATTCTGGACTATAATATTTTCTTTCCTTATTTGTTTCCCCACTGAACAGTAGATTCTTTGATGGGAGAAATTTATCTTTGTAACCCCAGTGCTTAGCATAATATCTGCCATACCAGAATGCAACCAAAGTTTTATGATGATTGAAAGCACTTACTAAACTATAAAGCATTGCATGAGGTAATTATTTTATTAACATATCATGGTAAAAATGTCTTAAAATTTGGCAACAGGAGAAAGTAGACTTATCATATGTGAGACACTGCACTAGGTACTTTACACAGAGGAATGTATTTAATTCTCAACATAGGTCTATGGAACACTGTCTCCATTTTCAGATGAAGAAAGTGGATCAGTGACATTAAGTAACATGCAGCACATATGTCTGGGAGCTAGGAATGGAATTTTTTGTTCCAAACTACTTAGCAATATGCCTCACATTCTTTCCCATTTAGGGGACTAGAGAGAGAGTCTGAAAGCAACAAGATTGTATGAAAAACAAGAGTATACTTCTAAAGGGAGGAAGGGAAGATGGAAGTGGGAAAGTAGCAATAAATACTTCAATTACAAGTCAGAGAAAGTGCAAAGCTTAGGGAGAAATCTAATTTTTAACAAATATTTTAGAAAGAAATACTTACAAATGTCATCAGTTACATAAAAAAAAATCATACTACCTTTAGCCATCTCTTCTGTAAGCTAAGTAGCTCCAATTCATTTTACTTCTCCTTACATGAGCTATTTTTCAAATTAAATTATTTTTAGCTTTCTGTTCTGATGTTGATTTTTCAAGCTGTTGTGAATAAACTGCATAGAAATGATAATACCAAAAAAACCAAACTCACTGCCATTGAGTTGATTCTGACTCACAGAGACCCCCTTTGAGTTTCCAAGGTGGTAAATCATTACGGAAGTAGATTGCCCAGTCTTCATTCCATGGAGTGGCTGGTGGGTTTGAACTGCCAACCTTCTTGTAGGCAGTCAAATGTCTTAGGTCCTATGCTACCAGAGCTCCAGAAGTGATAATAGTTGAAGTAAAATATTCTGAAGGGGTCAATTCCTAGTCTTGTAATGACACAGCTTTTCACACAACCCTGAAATAGCCTAGCTTTGTCCATAACAGCATTGCACTCCTGATTTGCATTCAGTTTATAGTCAGTTACATGGTTACTACTCTAGGTCATTTTCTTCTACATTTATGACTAGTCAGTTACTGTCCATGCTCTATTTTATTGCTTTTTTTTTTTCCTTAAGTGAACTTGCTTGTATTTGCTCTGTTTACAACCCCCCCCCACCTTATTATGGTTATTATAAGGATTTCCATTTTGTTTGCCAGAGAATTAGCACTTTACACAATTTGGATTCATTTGAATTCATCTCTCTCATGATACATGATTTTATATTTTACAGTTACAACCTTGATATATGCCAACCTTAACTTTTGTGAATAACTTAATTTGGTGCATATACTTAAGATCAAATATATGTAAGCCATGATTTACTTTTAGATAGAAATGTCTTATAGGAAATAATAGCCATATTGAAATAAAGCAAGGATTCTTTTAACTTCTTCCTCCTGTCTATTTGATATTTCACTCTAATATTAAAGAAAATTAAGCTGGTATGAAAGGGAAAGAGGAGGAGTTCACTAAAATGTACGCATTTAGCTGTCTGAGCACTGGCGGCTAATAACTGCTACACCAAAAAAAAGAAACCAAACTCACTGCTGTTGAGACTATTTGACTCATAACAACCCCTCCTTGGGTTACTAAGGCAGTATCTCTACGGAAGTAGATTGTTCAATCTTCCTTCTGAGGAGTGACTGGTGGGTTTGAACCACCAGCCTTCTGGTTAGCAGTCAGATGCTTTAGGTACTATGCCACCAGAGGTCCCAATAACTGCTATAGCTTTATTAATTCTTAAAAAAATTTTCTAAAGCTTTTTTTCTTATTACATAAAGAGAATTACAAAAACTGAAAATTCAGTGCATTGATATTTCCCAATGAGGAAACTTATTTTCCTTGTTAATAAGCAAGATATGAAAGAGTTTTGTTGGACACTATGTATAAGTTCAAAGTTCAATATATTTACATTTGCATTTTTATGCTTCACTGCTAACAAAATTTATGTGTTCCATCTACAACTATGTCCTATTTTAAATACAAGTTTTATTGCTGAAAGTTCTTTAGATTGTTGAAGGAGAAAAATTAACTAAGTAAGTCTTTGTCAAGACTGTTTCCTTCATCTGCCCGCCTACAGCAACACAGCGGCATGGAGTTACAGAAAAGCAGACCCGTACTGCCACAGTGATTCTGTCACTTTCTGTGTGCCTAATTGTGGAGAATCATCTCACTGGTATGGGCACACATTTCCTCATTTCAAAATGGGACTAATAATCCCCACCTTGCAGGGTTGCTCTGAGGAGTAAATGAGGTAAAGTAAAGAAAGCATCTAGCACATTGCTGAAACTAAGAACTCAATACACAGTCACACTCACTGCCGTAGAGTTGATTCCAACCCATGTTGTTGTTGTTGTTGTTGTTTGCCGTCGAGTCGGCCCCGACTCATAGTGACCTCCATTAGGTTTCCAAGGCTGCAAATTTTTACAGAAGCAGACTGTCCCATCTTTCTTCCATGGAGAGGCTGGTGGGTTTAAACCACTGAGCTTTTGGTTGGCAGGCAAATGCCTTAACCACTATGCCACCAGAGCTCCTTCAATACATTGTAACTCTTATTATTACCAACCAAAGCCTTTTCTTTTTCCTTACTAGACTATAAATTATCTGAAAATAAACTTAATATTATTCTTTCCATAAAGAGTGGTTTTAAAATACCTTCTGTACCTTAAAAAGTATAAAGCTAACTATTTTGACTATGAATATAAAATGTGTCCAAACATTTGTGAGATTAGAAATTGTAAACAAAGATACACAGGTCATGAAAATTCTATTAAACAGATAAAATTTAAGAGTGAACTGATGAAATTAAAACTCATGCCTATTAAAAATGTATTACCTGTGGAATCCACCCCATAAAGCAAGGGAGAACTGATGACACACTAGGAGAGTCATGCTGATTTTCACAAAGTCGATTTCCATCAAAACTGCAGCCTTCCATCAATAAGCCACTGATCTGCCATGGAAACATACAAATCAATAAAATATGTATTAACGTCCAAAATGTCAGGAGTTACTATAAAATGTCTTAAGGACAAAGGCAACACTTTTCATTGTGACTATGTATTCCAAATAATATGAAAACAAAGATTAGGGTATTTTATTTGTGAACAAGAAGGCAAGACCTAGACCCATGTTCACTGTGAATGTCTTTAGACTGAATTTTCATTTTTAGCAAATTATTTTTAAAGAAATACTTACAAATCTCATCAGTTACCTAACTGCAGGTACCTTGGCAATAGATTAATAGAAATATAGAAATATAATGGCAAAAGGCAAAATGTTATTCTTTTCCTCAGAGAGGGAAAAATTATAGCATAATTAGAAAATAAGTCTCTTTTTTCTATTGGGATTCTGACATCAATTTTTTTAAAAAATAAGGTCAAAATTCAGAACATCGACTGCAAAACTCGGAATGTCATGCAGAACTGGAATTAAGAATAGAAAAAGAGAAAGAGAATCATCTTCTCTAAGTTACTCTGAAAACAAAAATAAAGAGTTTTTTCTGTGATATTAACTTTGTATCTGTTCTTCAAAAGTTTTTTTTTTTTTCATTTAGTTTCTGCAGTGTTATTGTACCCTGACTTTATCTAAAGTCAACAAATGTAGAATCAGTATTTTGCATCCATAGCTCTTTCAACATTTTGCTGTCAGAGACATTTCTATATACAAAATTGGAAATAATCTCATAAATATTATAAAATACCTTCAAGTTTTAACATACTACATGAAAGAAATACACATTTTAGAGTCAAAGGAACATTTTAAGTTGAAAGAGTTACACTGGTTTTCAGTTAAAGTCAGGGAATGGTTTAGATGCCATCGAGTCAGATGTCACGCTACGTACAACAGAATTCCTTCTTGCCTGGTCCTGCACCATTTTCTCAACTGTTGTTATGCTTGGGCCCACTGTTGTAGCCACTATGTCAACCCATCTCATTGAGGTCTTCCTCTTTTTTGCTGACCCTCCACTTTACCAAGCATGATATCCTTCTCTAGGGACTGGTCCAAAATCACATGACTAAACTGCAAGAGAGGAGCTCGTGTAGCATAGTGCCTAAGGCACTTGTCTGCTAACCAGAAGGCTGGCAGTTCAAAACCACCAGCTACTCCTTGGAGGGAAGGTTGGACAATCTACTTCCATAGTGACACTGCCTCAGAAACTCAAGGAGGGGAAACTATGAGTCGGGTCTGACTCGAGGGCACATAACAACAACAACAAAGTGCAAAAGACAAAGTCTGGCCTTCTCTCTTCTAAGCATTCTGAGTGTACTTCTTCCAAGACAGATTTGGTTGGTCTTCTGGCAGTCCATGGTATAGTCAATATTCTTCACCAACACCAAAATTCAAATTTGTCAATTCTTTCATCTTCCTTATTCATTGTCCAGCTCTCACATGTATATGAGGCAATTGGCTCGGGTCAGGGGCATCTTAGTTCTCAAAGTAACATATATAACAAGGTAGTTTATTATTTTACCTTTATTTACTAAATAAAAGATTGCAAATCAACCATTTTTTCATAGTTTAAATTATGTTTAAAGATAAGCCTTGAGTTTCTAGGTCTCAATAAATATCTGTTGAATAAATAAAATATTATAAAAACTTGTTCTATTAACAACTAAACACGTCTGTATTTTCAATACTGAACTTCAGACACTTAAAAAAATGACTTTAACAACTGATCTTTATTTTATTTGAAAAAGAATTATAATTTTTTTCAAAATCATATGTATAATTTTAGGCACTGATGGAATTTAAAGACATTCTTGTTCCTGAAGATAAAATGAAACTATAAAGAATGTCAAAAAGTAATACACTATTGTTTCTATAATACCAGAAAAGACAGAAGTAAGCATATTTATCAGAGTAAAATATATTTACTTAAGTAAAATAAATACTAGTCTGTTTTCTGAGTTAACAACATTGTTTTCTAAGAGAGTACGTTACCTATGTACTGTATTTCTTTACTGGTTAAATTTGTGCATTCATAGTGATTGACTATCATGGATTAAAAAATTATTAAACAGAAAGAAAAACAGAGCAAATATTTTATTGCTGGCTAACATCACAGATTAAACTATTGATGTTCTAGTTAGTGGTATTAATGAGCTAATATGGATTTCATTAATGCCTGCTGATTTGAAACTACTGATTAATACACAGTAAAATGTAATATGATTTTGAAATGAGGATAAACAAGATGTGATCTCTATATTGTATAGTCAGGGATCAAGAAAGTGGCAATAACACAGCTTGGTTTGTTACTATTAAAGATGTCAAACTGATAAAATAATTTGCCTTTAATTTTAAGCAACCAGTCCATGTTTCCCCAATTAATAATTACTGAAGCTGCTTGCATCAAGTGTAAACAATTTTCTCAAAACACACATTTTTTGGTAGCAGCTTTCCTTAGATTAATTCACATATCATAAATTTGCTCATTTAAAGTGTAGAATCCTATGGTTTTTAGTATATCCATAGAGTTGTGTAACCATCACTATAATCAGGGTAATCACAATTGTATAAGTATATTCCAAACGACTAACTACTATAATCCCAATCTATTTTGAAAGGGCTATTCGTAGATATAAGATTTAATTTAACTTTTACCTTCTCATCTCAAAAAGGAGTTAGCAATGGTAACAACAGTCACTTTCTTCACTAAAAACAGAATCAAATCTATGTATCATCCTGCATTTTTGAATACTTCTGATTTTAATTTGGACCTGCCAATTTCATGATAAACTCTCAGTCTATATTCATATCATGTTTTTTCTTCTAAATCTTCCTTTTAAAAATTATAAAATACTTTAAACACACAGAGGATTAATTTTAAAACAGGAATTCTAGAAGAAAAGGAGAAAAAAAAATACTGAAAGAATTTTTGAAGTGATTGGCAGAAAAATTCTCAATTATCTGAAAGATGATAAGGTTTCCATCCAAGAAGCCCAATGAGCCCCACACAGGGTAAAAGTCAATAGAAATTCACCAAGACACATCATAAACCAAGATAGAGATAAATATTGATTTGGGTGAAGAGAAGGGCAATGTACCAAATGTGAGTGACCAATATGGCAGCATTGAGGATGAGAA